GAAAAACTGTGTTCAATTCCACCAGTGTGATTCCAGCTTGCAACCCCACCTTGCAACTTGCCAGGCTGTCCTGCTGGCTTCACAGCTGGCATGGATCTGCCCACTTGCCCAAAGACAGCAAGCCAACTAGATGAATTTGATTTACATAGCAGTGTTTATAATTTCACTATATATATAGCCAGGGAAGACGTAGAAGAAGAAACAAAATTGCCTATTCAGTGCAGTTCTGAATTATTAATCTGACAGGAAACCTGAGTTTATTTGCAGCTGCTGCAAAAACTTTTTTGCCTTTCTCTGTAAATTATGCATTACCCATTTTGGCAGTACTGTCCAAGAGACTTGCTTCACTAACAGCTGTAAATCACTTGTACAAGACTTTCCAGGGGAGAAGAATAATCATGGTATCCTAGAAAGGTAAAGTTTTCTTACTGCCCAGAGTTCCAATGCATTTATTGTACACTGTTACAAGGATCACCTATAATGAGACAGGTAATCCTGTCTGTTCCACAGCCTTTCCCTGCTGCCTGCTTATTTAGGATTTTTTTGTATTTTGTCAATTCCACCCACAAAATAGCAGACTCTTGAGTGATTTTTGTAGGACTGCTAGGAAGGCAAGGAATACTTGTATTTTGCAGTCAACAAAAATGGTAGGCAAAACAGAATTCCTCCCCTGCCCCAACTCACAGTAACTCCCTAAACTATTGCTGGAATTCTCAAGAGTTCCCAAAATGGGCACAAGTGGACAAGAATGAGATGACAGGGGGCTGGAGCACCTCCCATATGAAGACAAGCTAAGAAAGTTGGGGCTGTTCAGCCTGGAGAAGAGAAGCTGCATGGAGACTTCATAGCAGCCTTCCAGTATCTGAAGGGGGCCTACAGGGATGCCAGAGAGGGACTCTTCATCAGGGACTGTAGCAATAGGACAAGGGGTAATGGGTTTAAACTTAAACAGGGGAAGTTCAGGTTAGATATATGGAAGAAGATCTTTACTGTGAGGGTAGTAAGGTACTGGGAACAGGTTGCTCCATCCCTGGCAGTGTGCAAGGCCAGGCTGGACAGAGCCTTGGGCAACACGGTCTCCTGAAAGGTGCCCCTGCCCATGGCAGGGGGTGTGGAACCTGATGATCTTCAAGTCCTTTCCAACCCTCACCATTCTATGATTCTATGCAACTGTTGCCTTTCTCACTCACCCACCCATGAGGTGCACCAAGCCTGCTGATTTGAACTAGCACTGACTATTCATCTTGTTCAGGGTCACATAAACATACAGTTAAGTCCTGCTGATGCTCACATAAATCCTCTAATTTTTTAGTGCTAAAGGAGATAATTGCACCCCCCCTTGCTCCAAATCAATTAGCTTAATAGCTGCTCTACTCACTGTAACTTGGGAGAGGTAAAAATTAGAGGAAAATACTACTTAGGACTAAATGCATACAAAGATTACAATTATTTTAAGATCAATCAGAGACAGGGCCTAAAACATTAACAGTCTTCCCTCTCGATCAGTATGGCTGTAATCATATGGAGAACACACAGCTGGCTACACATTAGTTTCATTGTTGGCCTATCACCATTTGAAGGCTTTCACCAAGCTCCTCTTCACAGGGCATTTTCCCTTTTCTTTAGATTTGTAGACACATAGTACTTTGTAAAGAAGTGTGCGAAATGCAATTACTATATTCTGTTCTGTTTGTTTTGCTTGGGGGCAGAAAAAGTATAGAATGTTTTCATGAACTGTTGCTTTCCTTTATACATTGACCTTGTAAGACAGCAAAGCTCCTGATCTGTATCTTCAATAGTTCAAAGCATATTTTAGGACTGGGTTATATGTGCTTTCTACAAAGTTAAACTGAGACACCTTAACTGATGCGACTGGAAAAGAAGCAACATACAACATTGTTTTAGACCACATCTTTCAAATTACATACTTATATGAAGAAAAATTTGGTATACTAGGTTACCTGGATTTTAGAATCAAAATATACCTTCAATATCATCATTTGAAAACTAAATCACACAGATTAACAAACTGGAATAAACTTTAGGAATAAAATCTAAAGAACTGGTAGAAAGCAGATGAGATTTCATATTGTTGATCTACTTCACTAATTTTATTACTGAAACTTTACACTTAGAAAAATAGCAAGTTTTCCACATTAAAACAAAATAAAACTAGTAGACCTGTCCTGTGTTTAGCTTGTTTATCTAGTGCAGCATGCTGCATACAGAAGCAGATGGCATCAGAGATATGTAAGAAAATAGTACAGGATACTCTACTGCTGGGAGAGGTGTGAAAAAAAGCCCTCTGAAAGTCTTCCCTGCTTTCAAGGTTAAATAAAGCGTAAGTCTATATGGAATCCCTGTCTTATCAACTACCACAGGCTAGAAAATCCAACCAAATTCAATACTGTATTTCAAATTTTCATAAGTTCTTGGTGTCAAAAACATTACCTTGAAAGAAGATCTTGACATAATTCTCATTAAAATGCTCATCCTCATTTAACTGGCTATCCTCTGGTTTTCTGTTTCGAGACAGCTAACCAAAATTTACTGTAGGTTCTTCCATGAAATTTCAAAGCTGTTTCTATTTTTTGTCTCATTTCAAATATACTCAATCTTGATCATTTTGATTTCTCTTCAGATTGGAGTCTTTCCGAGTCCTTCATAGTCCTGTTCAGTCAAATGCTTTCAGTTTTGCATGTAAGATTGAGTTTATGGAGCATTCTAGATGAAATTGTATCATGGGTTTCCACAACTTTATTATACAACTCTCTGCATTATTTTCAACTCTATTCCTTCCACAGTGTGTCAACGTCTTAAAGAATAAGGGACATTGATATACCTATGTATTATCCATTTTGGGAAACTAAATATCTATGAAGTTATAGTTGAGAATATTACTTAGCTGACATTGTAATCATTCCCAGGTAATGTTTCTTCTTCTTAGCTTTGCATCAATGAAAAATAATGTTTAGGAATTGCCTCATAACAAAATTTTTGTATCCTCTGAAAAGTTGTGTGTTTCACATTAAGATATCCCAGCTATTTTAATGAAAAGACAGAAAAGCTTATCAAGTCCAAAAATGCTACTTCATAATTAGATAAATTCCTAAAGCTACTTCAGTTTTCATTTTAATGCATAAATCTTTGCCCAATTCTGACTTTCACATAATAGTATAAATACGTATGTAACGCTTAAAAAAATCCCCACAAAGATGTAAACCCCAATCTTGAAATTGGTTACGTGCCAGGCTGATGCTTAGAACATTAGAACCTGTTTATAAGCAGATATTAAAACCAGATACATCATCTTTTCAAAGGCATTCCTTAAAAGGATTACAACAATTTGTCTTGGGAAATATTTGCCTCATATTCATTTACAGTTGTTTTTAGAAAACAGTGCATTTAACATCTATTCTTTTAGCCTGCAGTGTTTTTGGGATATCACAGTTCTCAGAATTAGGTGATCATACCATCTACACTGCAATGCACAAATCAAAGACCTGATTGTAATATATAAAAATACATTACTGCACTCACATTCAGAAGTGTTAGGCAGGCATGATCAAACTTATTAACCAACAACTATGACTGTTTCACTGCTTATCTTGTCTTCCCTCCCCCACCCAATTCTTTCAATTTGAAAGGCTTATGCCTTGACCAACCATATTAAATTTTGCTTTCTCGCTACTGTGCAAAATGGTAAAATACTTTTTGGCTAAGTTGTGGCTGTGTTTCAATACGGAATACAGTTGGAATTGACTCAAAATGTTACCCTATGTCTTCCTCTAAAGTGCCATTTGTTAAGCTGTTAGTTAAAATCCATATATTGCCAAAACTATTATGGTACCAATACCCTCCATTCAAGGAATTTTCCAGGTCTCCCCTCTGTTAACATTTTGTGCCTGAATTGGTATCTATCACTGAAGTTCGGACTGGGACTACTGACATCCTCTAGAAGGCAGACAACGTTTGTTGAGGAAGGGAAGTTTTATTTCCTAATTTTGCTATGTGAACATGAAAAAGGCAAACAAACCACAGTAACTGCTCTCAAAGAACCAAAACTATAGTCTGAAAGAAGCTGATGCTGGAAAAATAGAACTGTACATAAAATGCTGAAGTAGCTGACAGAAGCTTTTTCTCCTTTGCATTTCCACTAAATTATGAAAGATTAAAAAAGGGCACAAAAATATTTAAGATATTATTCCAAAGGATTTCAGTGGAAATATTTTTTGTTGCCTTTGGTATTCCTAGTGATATGGAATCCTAGTGATTACATTTGTATAAAATGGGTAAATTTATTTATATGTTTCATTTGGACTTCAGATGAAAACATCCCCTAAAAGCCTGTCTTAAAGGACAGTTTTGATGCCATGGACCTAATCCCGTGCCATTTTGGAGTACTATACAGTTCTCTTCTATCAGTAATTCTATAGTTTCATAGCCTCGTTTGTTGTTTATTCTTCTATTAAAGACAAATGAAAGGTTAATTAGATATATTAACCATGTGGTCCATTTATTTGCATCCTTTTTTTTGAAACTATTCTGAATCAGCACTTGAAATTCTCAAAACAATTAACCACATGCACTCCTTGCTTGCAACTTTCTCAAATGAGTGTTCCCAACATTTCTGAATATAAATTTGGCAGAAAAAGAGAACGAACTTCACCTGAGGTGCTCATCTCATAGTAACGTCAGTCCTTAACACCTGAATTCTTATCTCAGGGTTCTTATTTTATTCAAAAGTAGAGAGCAACACGAATGGCTGCTGCTACTACTCCATTACTGACAAAAAAGTCAAGAAAAGTAGAAATCATCCTTGTATAACTGACAGAATACATATAAAATTAGACCTGAAGTTAATTAACTGATAAAGCAGAAGACCTCACTGCAACAAATCATTACTATTTGGGAGACCCAGCAGATTAGCCTTGACGCATTCTGTAATTTCTCCTTTCATTATTTTTTAAAAAACATTTAAAAAATTACACTGTACTTACTGGATTGAGAACCACTGTGAAGAACAACTCTCCTCCTTGAATACTTTTGTCTAGTTCCTTTGGGCCTCCAGGATACTCTTTATAGAAAATTGTGTGGGTGAATAAGCCACAGGTTTGCCTAGGAAGCACCTGAATTTATGGGGTGGGGGGGAGGGTGAAGATGGAGGGGTGGGGAGTCAAGGTGAAGTCATAAAACAAAAATATTTATACTTTTAATATGATTATAAATGCCATATAAGTAACATATGACTGAAATTGTTCCTTTGTGATAACTGTTGGGTAGATTTGTCATCACAGCTTTGCCAGAAGTTGATCATGATCTAGTTGAATACACTGGCAGAACAATAAATAGCACCTACTGAAAGAAATAACATTTTATTATCAGTGAAATCATAATGTCCAAAAATTCATCACGTTTTGTTTGAAACTGGAGATCAATTAGTAAGTTGCAATTCAGCAACCTCCTAAAGCTATTTTGTCTGTAACACCTCATTCTAAAACCAAGTATTTGAAGTCTGGTTATCAAAGATTTCCAAAATCTTAAAATAATCTGAAACATAATCTGAACTATTACGAACTATTATCAGTCCATATTGTATTGGTGTTTTGTTGTTGGGGTTTGGTGGGCTTTTTTTTTTGGTTTGTTGGTTTTTTTTGTTTATTTGTTTTTTTTTTTGGCTTTGGCATCACCACCAATAATAATTCTACAGTGACACATGATGAATTTTGCAGGTAATGCTCACATAATAAATGTGCTTCTCATTCAGCTGTGCTAAGTTTTGTAAGGCCAGCTGCAATATAAAGTAACATAAAGGAAAATATTTTTTAAAGTATGCAAAGAACAAGTCTTTTCAATAGAAAGAGCTGATAAATGCACGTAGGTTTTCCAGCAGAATTAAAAAATATATTCTATCAACTTCAGATAATAATTTGCTGAAGACTACTTCAATTATGTCTATTTTTCATAGAAAATCAACAGCTAAGTATTGCTGTTCACGTATAATTATCAAACTGGGATTGGTCTCAAATATTCTAGTCCAATTTAAGACATTCATTACATTATAGCTTAATTTTTTAAAGTATAAAAATCCCTTACTTGACATAGACTGTGGTTTTGTAGATATTCTTTTATTTCTTGTAGTTTAATTTCTCAACATTTTTGTGATGTACAGTATACTGTGACCATAGATAATGAATTCTGCATTGTTACAAAATGGATGGAATTTGTACATTTGCTATAAACTTGTAAATACTTTAAAACCCTTGGATTTCGCTGATGAAGTATGAGAACAATTCTTCACAGAGACGGAGAATGAAGCTGTACTGAATGTGAAATGCTCTGGGAAATCTTACACAACAGTTTTACTGAATTTATACTGAATATATTCATCACTATAAGCCTGAAGATGTAAAGTATTAATGCATTTGCCCTGGAGAACTGGAAGCTTCAGATTCCCAAACCAGGTAGTTTTATATATGGCTGTGCTTAGAAATTGATTTTTTGTCCTGGTTTCCTTGTGTTAAATCTCATTATGAGTCTTCAAATTACATGTTTTTACAAAAAACTTATAAAAGATATTTTGGGGCATTCCGAGTCCATCAGTTGTCTTCAAATGCTTCACAACTCTGAGCATATCCACAAACCCACTGTTTTACGTGCAGCTATTGCTGTAGCTCAAATCTGTATGTGTCAATTTTTTTCCTGGCTGTCTGGAGGTCATGTTAGTTTGCTTCATCCAAAAATTGAATATTATTGTTTTGCTTAGAAAAGAGGTATCCCTGGTAACTTGAGGACAAGACCACAATTCTGTTATAAGCCAAGTGGCAGTCTTGCACTAAGATACTTGACCCTCCAAAACTGCTTGCTTAGAAAAGAGGTATCCCTGGTAACTTGAGGGAGGATAAGACCACAATTCCGTTATAAGCCAAGTGGCAGTCTTGCACTAAGATACTTGACCCTCCAAAACTGCTTGGTGCAGGCAGAGGTGTAACACAGTATACACACTAGGATCTTTCCCATTCATCCCTTTCCCCTCTGACTCCAAAAGAAAGTCACTCAAGAACATACCATCCAGTATTTTGGAAAGTTGTTTTGAAACACTTCTCAGACAAAAATGACAATATGTGAATCAGAAATAGCCTATGCCCTGGTGACCAGATGGTATTGGCATAACACCTTCCAGAGTTGTGCACAACCCCTTTTGGCAAATGTTTCTGTCAATGAACAACGGTCGGTACAAATACAGAAGAATTGTGTGACTTGACTTGTGGCTACCTCAGCAAGGCAGCTTCATAGCCTGGAGGGGGGTGTGGTGCATGTCTGCCGGCTTTCCTTCAGCCTTCTCAGTGTTTGCCCTGCATCCAGACTGAATGCCTGGGCCCAAAGGATAGCTGTGAGGTTAAGCCACACTGCAAAGCACAGTTCATATTTCTGCACGGCAGGAAGCAAAACAAGGACAACTGTATAATGTTCAATGCAAGAAAAAAGTACTTCTGCACCAAAATCAAGGTTCTTAGATAGCACAAACTTACGAAACTCTTTTGCAGTTAATGGTACTATGCAAATTTAAAACCTGCTAGAAATCCAACCCATAGTATTTGTTAAAAGATGGAAAGTTGACTATTTCCTCGAGATGTCTGAACATGTATTAACAGTAAGATCAGAACAGTTAGCAGCCTGTTTACTGTTAACAGTGGGATGCCTGGAGGCCACCTCATCAGCAGTAACATCATCAACAACAGACTGATTTTAATCAACAAGATACTGTGAAATGTATCTTGCCACTTATGCATAGCAATATGTGCCTCTTATGACATGAACTTTCAGGATACCATGCTTGTCCACTTAGAAACAAGTTCTTCATAAAATGGTAGAGTGGTGGTAATATGAACATCATAAATACAACTCACCATGATATTTTTGTGGATGAAGCCTCGCCTATATCGTGCAGGCTTTAGGTGTGGGTATTCTTCTGTGCTGGTAACTCTGATATTCCAGACCTTTTTCCAGGCATCATAGAGTTGAACATGTACTGGGTAGACTCCAGAATGGTGTGGAGCCACTGCATAGCCCAAATCAGTTGGAATACCATGTTCCTAAAACACAGCAGAACAATCACTGATTTAAAAAATTTAAGGAACTTCATGTTATAGCATTCCTTGAATCCTTTGTTTGTGAGAGATCAAGGTCTGAAATGCAAATAATGGCGATATCAAAATATGCTGGTATATAAGGGAGATGGAAGGCAGCATGGTAAGATGAAACACAGGATTTGAATACAAAAGCCTTTTTAACAAATATTTTTGAGTATGTAAGGAAAAGTGATATAGATGTAGTTTATGCTGATTTCCTCAATCTATATTAAACAGAAAGCAGCACTCCTTCAAGTTCTTGCAAGGAATTTACTCACAAACTAAAAAGAATTCAGAGAGAAAATTACTGGCACATAATCAACACAACAGGTGGCATCTGGCAGTTACACTTACAAAAGTGTGATTTCCATTACACAATTACTTGCATTGTTAGCTTAATTTCATAGAAAGTCACTGCATTTCCTCTCTAGTCCACTCAAAACATAAAACCATATTCAAACCAGCTTACCCATGTTAGTGCCATTTTAAAAAAGGAGAAAATATAACCACTTGTAAAATTCTGAGGATAACAGGCAGATGCTGTAGGCAGGCAACCCCTTTTGTAGTACACAATCTTTCACACTCCTGCACCCATCTTGTTTACATACAGACCTTGCTACTATTACATTTTCTTGACATTCCGTATATTTTCTTTCCAGTTTCTGGTTTCCAATATACTCTAATGAATTTCAACACCTTGTCTCCTTTCTTTCAGGTTGCTTTTCAAAATAACAGTATATAGCAGATATTTCTTTGATAGTCTGATTTGCAGAATACACTGTCCGTAAGATCACAGTATCACAGTATGCTAGAGATTGGAAGGGACCTCGAAGGATCATCTAGTCCAATCCCCCTGCCGGAGCAGGAACACCTAGATAATGTTACACAGGAATGTGTCCAGGCAGGTTTTGAATGTCTCCAGGGAAGGAGACTCCACAACCTCCCTGGGCAGCCTGTTCCAGTGTTCCGTCACCCTCACTGAGAAGAAGTTTCTTCTCAAGTTTAAGTGGAACCTCTTGTGTTCCAGTTTGTACCCATTACCCCTTGTCCTATCATTGTTTGCCACTGAGTAGAGCCTGGCTCCATCCTCGTGACACTCCCCCTTTATATATTTATAGACACTAATAAGGTCACCCCTCAGTCTCCTCTTCTCCAAACTACAGAGACCCAGCTCCCTCAGTCTTTCCTCATAAGGGAGATGCTCCACTCCCTTAATCATCTTTGTTGCCCTGCGCTAGACTCTCTCCAGCAGCTCCCTGTCCTTCTTGAACTGAGGGGCCCAGAACTGGACACAATATTCCAGATGGGGTCTCACCAGGGCACAGTAGAGGGGCAGGAGGACCTCTCTCGACCTACTAACCACCCCCCTTCTAATACACCCCAGGATGCCATTGGCCTTCTTAGCCACAAGGGCACAGTGTTGGCTCATGGTCATCCTGTCATCCACTAGGACCCCCAGGTCCCTCTCCCCTACACTGCTCTCTAACAGGTCGTTCCCCAACCTATACTGGAACCTGGGGTTGTTCCTGCCCAGATGCAGGACTCTACACTTTCCCTTGTTATATTTCATCAAGTTATTCCCTGCCCAACTCTCCAGCCTGTCCAGGTCTCGTTGGATGGCAGCACAGCCTTCCAGCGTGTCAGCCACTCCTCCCAGCTTAGTGTCATCAGCAAACTTGCTGATAGTACACTCAATTTCCTCATCTAAATCGTTGATGAATATATTAAATAATACCGGTCCCAGTACTGACCCTTGAGGCACTCCACTAGTCACAGGCCTCCAACTAGACTCAGCCCCATAGACTAAAACTCTCTGGCTTCTCTCCTTCAGCTAGTTCGCAGTCTGTTGCATTGCAATGCAGATGTTGCAATGCAGATGTTGCAATGCAGATGTTGCAATGCAGATGTTGCATTGCAATGATTTAGGAAACCTGCCTTTGCACGATCTCTGAATTCTGTGTAAGAGTTTTTTATATGGATTGTATTTGTATGGTCATCTTCACTGTATTTTCTAATCATACTTTCTCTGTTCCCTCTTCCCTCATACTTTCTTTGCGCACAAAGGTAAGAGTTGGTTGATACTCAGGTCTATTCCTTTGCATAAACTAGTTATTAAGGAATATGAAAAACTCTAAGTCTTAGCTCAAAGAAGAACGGGTGCATGACCTTTAGTAAAATCACCTTTCTTCACCTTTTCTGGAGAAGGACTACTGCAGGAAACCTAATGCACAGGACTTAAAAGCTTAAATAGTCAGGATACGATATCAGACATACCTGTTGTAATTTAAATATGACAACTTTACTGACAGCTCAAAATAAAACAAACTCACAAAGCAGCATTTGCTTCTGCTCTGGAGTAACATGGGAAGTCAGACTTTAAAGATGTGAAACCTGCAAGGGAAGAAGGCTACTTTTTCCTCATTAAAGGGCTACTTGGAACCTAGTGTAATGGTGTGTCCAACAGACAGATATGGTTTAATCACAGTTGAGAACTCTAACTTTTTTGTATCTCAACACCCATCAGTGACCCTGCTGCACCCAGGGAGCACATCATCTGCTGGTCTACAGCTGGGGCACACTATGTGTAATCTGTCAAAGTAGGAAGGAGTAAGATCTGGCCTATTGGTTTTACTGCATATGGAGATAAAGAATGGATATGCCATCAGTTACACAGCTTTACACCACTTTATTCCACCACAGGTTGTCTCAATTCTTTCTTTTATCTTTTCTACTTCACTTAAGCATGCATAAACATTAGAAAGAAAAATCTTTACAGAACATGTAAGGAATTGTGTTTTCTAATGTCCCATTTAATCTTCTTCATGTAGCGAGAAAAAAAATCTGTTTTTTAAGGGGTTTTCCCTCACATTTTTTAATTACATATTTATTACTGCATATTGTAATCTTCCATTCTAATTATGAGCCTATCATCTTGAATGTATTATTGTCTCTGTTATTCTTTAGTGACTGTTATTCCCAAGTTAAGCATTTCATACACATTCAGTCTGATAATACATGAGGCATACACAATTTCAGCCTCTTTCAAAAAAGCATGATACTTATCTTTGTTATTAATTTAAATGCTTTAAGTAAATGAAACATAATGAATAGCTTCATGTCTATATGTCTATATATAGCTTCAGGCATGAAAAGCATTTAATGTAAGTATTAAGAACATTGAGAGTGGAGAAGAAAAAAAAATTCTGACATTACCTAAAATAGGGCTGAATATGAATTATCCTAATAATATACTTTAATGCTTACATGGTGTAGACTAATCCCAGAAGATGTCTTAGGTCACACTAGAACTACAAGAAATAACTGAATTTCCAGTGGAGCTTGCAACAGTACACAGAATCATAGACAAAAGGGAATTTTGGACACAGAATTGTTAAATCTTAAATTTTTGTAACTTCTACTGCAATACTTTCTTTAAAGATAACATTAAAATTGAGGTGGCCTGCTCTCAGTACAACTACAGTTTATAGTACTCTTCAGTTGAAAGAAAACATACACCTTACTTAAAGCAAAGTTTCAAATACAAATTTTAAGTGCTTGATTTTCTATGTCTATGCTTCACCCTACATCCACTGACATGTGGCCATAAGCACACTTTATTTTGTTCCGGTATTTCAAATCCCCTTGCTCTTTCAAGGAACAAAGTCATGACCTGCCATGTGAAGAGCAACCAGTGCATTTTGAAAAGTGAAAAGCCAAATTAGCGTGATGGAATAGTAGACATATTTCAGCAAACAAGTTATGTTTGCTGAGATATTCTGATACAACACTTCTTAATTTCTTTACATATGACAATTTCCTCAGGCAAATAATACGTAGTATTGTGTATGGCAGTCTGGTTTGGTTTTAATGCATGAAAGAAAAGGTAAGACTGTTTCTCTAGCATCCTCAGACCTAAAGGTAAGTCTGTTTCTTTAGCATCCTCAGACCTAAAGGTATGGTTTTATTTTCTTATATTCTCACTAATACTTTTTTTTTTCTGTGAATAAATTATTAGTAAAGGCAATGCTTTTCAAAACAGGTTCTTATAAAGTTGATCCAACAGGAATATGTAAGATCTTATCCTGCATCACCACAAAAGAGCATCTTTGAAAATACGGCACATATGTCATAACATGGCATGTTAACCCTAACATGCAGTATTTCCATAAAGTCATTTGACATGTTTTGATGGAGTGTTTTTTCCTGCATAAAAGTGGATATTTTCTAATCTAAACAATGGCTTATTTCAGAAAAATATAAAATAAATTTTTTGTCTATATTGACTTTCCAAGATGTGACCATATTAATTCTTCATTCTGAAAGAATGCTTCCATTCAAAATTTTCCATAAAGTAATAAAAAAAAACCCCTAAACTTTACTTAAGAAATCCAAACTGTAGAGAAACAGAATTTTCATAGCACAAAACAGACTGCAAAAAGCATTCTATCATAATTTTTTTTCGATTCACTGAGATTAAAACAAATTCTACAAAGATTGATTTTTCTAACAAAATAGGAATGTTTTCTGAATACCTAAATTCAATATAAAATACAAAACCACAACTCACTAAGGCAAATTTTTTGTTGAGGATCATCTGCTCCACCAGTGACGACTCATTGTGGAAGAGGTGAGGCTGCATGTGACTCCACATATGGGGAAACCACCAAAACTCATCCGCAGATCTCAACAGCAGGTCATCACCTTCATCTTCTTCCTCAGTCCCTGAAAAAGGAAAAAAAAAGAAAAGATAATACCTCTGAAGTGGTTTAAACCCAGTTGGAAACTCAGAACCACATAGCTGCTTGCTCACTCCTCCCTCTTCTTCCCTCTCTTTTCCAGAGAGGCTCTGTAGGCGCAGGCCAAGCCCCAGCACATTGTGGTCATTTGCCCCTCTCTGGTACTGCCAGGACAACAGCACACCTTGTCTGACTGTTCTGCTAATTTTTCTAGATTTCACACTTGTTCAGAGGAGAAATTCCAAAGCACTGGAGGGGCCCACTGGCCCAGGTGCTTGCTCATATGATCCCACACACCTTGCCACTCATGACTGTCCAGTCTTGGCAAAAAAATCTCGTGGTGGTCCTCTCATATCGTCTTTTAATCTTAGACAAGACCCAAGCCCAACCCTGCTTAACTTTTGAGATCAGATGAAACAGAGCGTTCTCAAGGTGGTATGGCCGTGAGTAAAATACATGCTGTATTTGTGACAACATGCTTATTCCCAGCAAAAGCATCAGGCAGGCTTCAAAGGCATCCAAAGGATATCCAAAACCTTTAGAATTCTCAAATGCTGCTGTAAATAGCCTGGCAGGGTGTGAGGGAATGTCTCCTTTGTAGGCTGACCTCCCAAGGAGGAAAAAAAAAGATGTGTAATTGCTAAAAATTCCCATTATATGCTTCCCAAAATATAGAGGTGACCACCACACTGAGAAAGCATGCCAGTGTCATGATCAATTGTATTACAAATCATTACCATAAAGTACAGCGAAACAAAAACTTTAGCTCAGGCCCCAAAGCCAATAAACATTAAAACAGCAATTGCTGGCTGCAAGTAAGGTACAACATGTTGAAGCTCTGAGAGCAACCACAACAACTCTGAGAGCAAAGAAATCAACATTGTGATGAGTGACTATTAATCCGAAACAATGAATGCTTATCACAAATACGATCAGGCACACTCTGGTCAGATCTGTTGTTAACTGTTACAGCTGAACAGAGGACAGTATCCACCCCTTATTGCATACCACTCACGTCATGCTCAGATCCCTTTTTTTTTTTTCCAATATACCATTACTTTTTGTCTCATACATACACATACACCTATTATGAAGGAAATGCTTCTCTCTACTCATACCCTTAAACTCTGTTTTCCTCATATTACAAAAAATACCATCAAACCCAAAGCTATTTTAGTATTTCAGTCTTACCTGTGTGATAAAATTTCCCTGAAAATCCCAGGTTGAAAGTAAAATTTGTAATTTGAGCTCTCAAAAGATTCTGAGTGTCAAGCAGGGCCTGCAAAAAAACAAACCAAAAAGACAACAACCCACCATATAAACATATGTGTAGGAAACACACCTGGCACAAATTTAATATAACAATATAGATACTTTTACAGGTAAATGTCCTTTCAATTGCTTTAGCTATTTTAAAACAGCTCATTATATATGACATATATATATGACAACAGATACTTTCATTGCCGTTTAAAGATTAAAAACTACATGCAAACTCCATTGTTTTCCTCATAAAGGTGACCAGCTATTAAATATTGGTTTACTCTTTGAATCATGAAATGGGAAAACAAAAGCACACTCCAGATAAAAGATCTTCCACTGATGACTCAGTAAACCTGGGATACAGCCAGGAATGAAATTCAGATCTCTTGTGCCCCCAGCTGCTGCCCCATTCACTAGGATGTATAGGTAGGATGACCTGCAACTGTATTTTTTTATTTCAGGTCAAGTACATACATAGCATTTTAGTTATGTTTCAAAATCACTGGCAATGAAAAAATTAAAAAATCCAGAAAGCTAGATGAAGCCTATTCCATATCAAAGAACTTAATCCTAAATTTCCCCAAATTCTGAGTCATTTCTCACACATTTAGCACACTGGCTGTCAGCATACGTATACTTGCACCAGATTAGTACAAACATGCATGCAGGAGGAAAGGAGAAAGCTATTATTCATCAAAGTAAAGAGTCAGAAAACTCTGATCTCAATACGCTCTTCTTGATTTGTTACTCCCAAGATTTACATATTGTTTGCAAGAGTTATTACCTCCTGAACTCTTACACCCTGCTGCTGTTCAGTTTCCCAGATGTAACAAAGAAACCTACCTCTCCAATGCAAAATAAACTTTGCAAAGCAAAACCAAAATGGATGCACAAAAAGCATCCTCTAAAATGAGACTTGGAGTGCACCTTTCTCCAGACAACCTGCCTTCAGCTGAGCACTTGATGGCTGGTAATTTATGAGCACATTGGACTCTGGAGATTTGTGGCACTGAACACAGCACATCAGAAGTGCATGGCCAGCTACAGCGAAAAGACACACTTGTGCAGATAGTTATGCAGTACTTTTGAAAAAAAAAGAATTATACACCAAAGTTTTCAAAGTCAACATACATTATAGTACAGTGATCACTGTACAAGAAGTGATCATAAGTATTATTATTGTCAGAAATGACTAACTAGGCATGTTAAGAAAGGGGAACATATTTAAAAGCACAAAGTCACTGGAGATTTTCAGAGGTTTAAAGGTCTAGAAGGTTCCCCACTCCTGAAATTCAATGACAATTTGGTGTTCTGAAAAATGTGAGACAGCAATTTAAGAGTTTCTTTGGATATTTCATTATATGAGTAATTTGTCTATAATTTTCTTTTTTTTAAACAGGAATGCCCATGAAAACAAAATGTTAGCATGGAAGTCAAGCCCAGCTTTAGATCCAGGCATAGTACAGTCAACTTACAGTTCTTTAAAATTACCCATTTTACAGATAGAGGCAATATCCACCTTATCAGAGAAACTTCTGGGCACATGAGCTCTTCTTGAGGTCTTTACCAGGGCTCACCTGTATCAGATGTAACAAAAGTACTATCTTAATCTGCCTGTTTCCTTATAATAAGATACCTACAACACGATGGTGACCACATCAGGCAAAGGGTGACTGTAGCAGGGGCTCCCCTGTGCACTAACCTCAGAAAAAGCCCAAGGCAGCACACCCAGTGGTGTTTCCATTCCCAGTAAGATGTGGCCACACACCACAGCTGGTGCATATGTTCCAGTTCTGTGCTTGATTTTCCCACCACTCCTTTTCCAGAGCTGAGCATTTTCACCTGGCCCCGCTGGCAGACTGCAGCACCAACCAGCACAGGAATACAGATGCTCTTTGGCCCTCTGCTAGCGTGTATCTGAGGCCTCAGCGAACTCGCTAAGCTTGTAGCTAGGGCTGGCTCTGGGAAGCTGGTGCTTGAGGGAGCTGATCTGATGCAATGGGACAGTCATTTGTCCCTATCCTGGGGGACTGCAAATTTGGATTTTGCTTATAAAACATGAGTGGTTTCAATTCTGAGCCATCAGTAGTACTTGCTTTGTTCAGTATTTCAGTGAACCAGAATGCTATGCCTAAGCATATTCATTAAATATATATTAATCAGAAAACTAAATCTGTGAAAGAACCATCATTTTCTGCCTCCTATTTCTTAAGGTCATCTCAGATCTGGAAGCAACTTGTCTTTCCCACTGTCATCTTCTTCACTGTAGCTCCAGCAACAAGAGTACAAGCAGTTTCAAAGCACAGTACTGGTAAAATAAAGATCATCTTTCACTGGAAAGCCTGAAAAATGCCCTATGACTTTCTAAAGGAATGACTAAAATGAAGCACAGAATGGAGATAACTGAAAACAAGTATGAGACTTCTGAAGGAAATATTACGAGAAAAATCTTGCAGCACTGTAATGAGGGCTTTTGCTCAGGCTGAGAGTGCAAAGATCACCCAGGAGACTTCTTATTCTAATGAAAGGTATGAAACCACAGAGGATTATGAAAACCATCCTTGAGCTGCTGGGAATTAAGTAATTTTTTATCTTTGCACACTTAAAAATGTAGGAAGCAAATAATATGCCTATATGATAATGTTAACCATAGATACTGTCAACTGGAAGGAATCCTGAGAGCAGCTTGACAGCAAGGTGGCATGAATGGGCTGCATGGTTCTTGCCCTCCTAATTAAGTAGTGTGAGCATTTTTTGAGCTGAAGGTCTTCTCCTGTACTTAACACATTCTCAGCTTGCCAGCTCCAGTCTAGTTTCGGCGTGATGGAAAACCAAAGAGCAGCTGAAACCAGAGAAACACAACCCGGAAGACTATTTTCACTGCACCTCCCTAGCATACTGCAGCTACAAGGCTGACCAGACAGTTGCCAACCCAGGCTTTCAAATGGAAGGTGGGAAAAGGGTTGCAAAAAGTCCATAATGCAATATGAGAGTTTACTTCTTTGCTGGGATCTAGTTTTGCTAGTGTAGTTACCTCCTTATTGCCTCAATGACATGCCTGGTGGCTGCATTTTATTCAAACCAGCAGTCACAAGACGACACATCAAATTACACCTAAATAACACAAAACTTTAAACGAAATCTGAAGTTCACCTTCTACAGAACAAATTTTGAAAGCGACGCCACTGTTTATTTTGGCCACATTACTTTCATTAAAATCAACAGGAGATCTTCTGGTAACCTATGTGGTGGTATGTGAAAACCTATTGGCTAATATCAACAGTGTACCTGCTCAATCTGCACAGAGTGAGAGGACAGGCCTGCTGTGAACCAGTTTTTGTACAGACAAGCTGAGATGACATTTGAGTTGTCATTCCTATGATTATTCTCTGGGTGACTTGACATTTTACTCATCATTCAGGTTCTAAAAACAAAATGTTAGAACTCATGCAAAATATACAGAAGCAGATGGCAGGGCCTATTACTGTGATCATAAAGACAGAAGCAGAGAAAAGTAGGGGGATGAAAAGCCTGAAATTTCATTTTTAAATGCGGCTTGATACGCTGAAGGTAAGCTGGTGATATTTTCTGTGTATTTTATGATTGGTTTATGAACAAACCCCTCTGGATATTTGTATGAAATGTTATGTAAATACATAAATACTGAAGATTATATTTTAAAAACTTTACTAAAGCCTTCATATGCTTATAGATAATTATTTAGTACATGTCATACTTCCACTGATACTGTAAAGAAAATAAATTGCTGGCTGCCTAATCACTTTCACGTACACAGCTACAGAGGAGTAAGTACTTTTTAACTCTTCTTAAGCTCACATAGTAGGTTTACCAAATTCCTTGTGCCAGAAATCAAATATGAGAATTCAGTATATGATGAAAAGCCCTCTTCTTCACCAATAGTCCAAAATAATCTCAGAATCATAGAATCATAGAATAGTTAGGGGTGGAAAGGACCTTAAGATCACCCAGTTCCAACAGCCCTGCCATGGGCAGGGACACCTCACACTAAACCATGTCACCCAAGGCTCTGTCCAACCTGGCCCTGAACACCCCCAGGGATGGGGCATTCACAACCTCCCTGGGCAACCCATTCCAGTGCCTCACCACCCTCACAGTAAAGAACTTCTTCCTTATATCCAATCTAAACTTCCCATTTAAGTTTTAACCCGTTACCCCTTGTCCTGTCACTACAGTCCCTAATGAAGAGTCCATCCCCAGTATCCCTATAGGCCCCCTTCAGATACTGGAAGGCTGCTACAAGGTCTCCACGCAGCCTTCTCTTCTCCAGACTGAACGGCCCCAACTTTCTCAGCCTGTCTTCATAAGGAAAAAGGCCTTGTTACAATCCAGGCAATAGACAAAAGTTATCCTGACAGCAAAACAAGAGTTCTTTCAATCTTTCCATCTGACAAGTTTATACTATAATGAAAGGAATGTAAGAAATCATGTATGTTGTAAATAAAGCCCAAATCTCAGACAATTAGCACCATGCCATTTAAGTCATTTGTTTCACTTCTGAATAAACATCTCAGCAAATGTAAGCTGCTGTAATTGCCAGTGGTATCTCAACTGACTGAGAATTTAGGAGAAAATGGACTCTGAGATTACAAATATAACAGAAGGAACCGTGAGAATTATTCCTTAATTGGAATAGCCATGCAATGGAAATATATGAAAATTCCTGCCTTTGTAAAGATGGCACCTTCCTTTCTTGACAATCGTAATGTTTAGCTCTTTTAACCGCTTTTCAGTCAGAAATATAAACTCCGTTTACAAAGAAAACAGGCCTTTTTGATTTTTCTTACCTTACAGATGGGACAAACAGAGGCACAGATCAATGACATGGGCTGTCAAGAGCTCCTGCTCAAGTAAATCAGCAGTAAAGCCAAGGGTAAAACTCATCAGCAACCTTGCTTTCCATTTCCCTATCCAGGAAACTGTCCTGCCTCCTGTCCTCAAGCATCTCTTTACATTATTTCATTTCATAGTCTGTTA